CTGCCTCGCCGTGTCTCATTACAGATGCCTCTGCCGCTCTTTATCTCTGCCGTTCCCCTCCCATTCACTAGTTGGAGTCCTATTCTCTGGCTTGCTGCTCCTGAGGGCGGGGGCTGCAGCAGTCCTACGGGACAGCCCGGGGACACCTCGGGGCACTGACTGGGGTCCCCTTTCCGGTCACCTCCACATGCCCGTCACCTCAGCAGGGCTCCGTCTTCCCTCTGCAGCTGTGGCGTGGGGGGCGGAGCCCTGGGGGGAAGACACGGTGCCCAGCATCTGCTCGGGAGCCCCGAGGCCCCTGACCCTCGTGCCGCTATTAAGGGCTCCGGGTCCCGAGGCTCGGAGATGATCATGATTGCATCAGCTAGACAGCCGAGGAGCCGGCCCTCCACCCTATACTCGACCCTCCAAAGCCTTCACTGCACTATTGTCTGTACCCATGGGTTATGCATACATTAAAGTTCCTCCCCTGTAAATCTCTAACCCCCAACCCTCACCCATGCCCTCCCTCTGAAATTCGATTAACATGTTCCTTGCTTCTGTGTCTCTGGATCTATTTTGTTGATCAGTTTATTTTGTTCATTAGATGCAGACACACAGCGCGCCTGCGTCACACTGTCTTTCGAATACCCGCCGCCGTGCGGTTCACACCCAGGCACACGCCCACGCACTGTCACAGAGGCGCACACACCTGCAAGTGTAGATGCCAGAGCAACACACACTCGCTAGTGGCTCTTCCTGATTCTCACACAGACACAGTCCCCGCGGGCAGAGACCCACGGAAATGCCTACGCGGGCACACCCAGGCGTGAAGAATGCACAGACACGCCAAAGCACATGTGCACACCTAAACACCCAGGGGCTTAGACTGACGAAAATAATAGAAGTTGGGGGGGGGCAGGATGGTGACAAGACAGATACGTATTCAGGGTACAGGGGCACACACCAACGTGCACACACGCCTCACACACTTTGGAGCACACACGCACACACACACCAGGGACATAGACACCCATAATTGCCAAGGGCACAGAGACCCCCACACGTTCAGAGGTTGGCACCCACACACCTGCAGGAGCCCCGCCCCGGTGGAGGAGTGTAGTGGAGAGGTCGCTGGAGTCCCTGCTGGAAGCCTTGTTATTCTAGCCGCATAATGAGGTCCTGGTGGCAGGAGGGCCTGCTGACAGGAGGCGCCCGGGGCTATTGACCCTGCACCCTGTTTGACTGCCTGAAGCTTCCTTCCTTGGCCCCCAGGGCAGGTGGTGCAGACGCTGGGCTCCTCTGGCCTCAGCCAGCCCCAGCCCCAGCTCCAGCCCCAGCCCCAGCCCCAGCAGTTGGGGAGAGAAGCAGGAGAAGAAGCCATAGAGGGACATTGGTGGATGTGCAGGGAGACTCCCAGGATCCTCAACACAGCCAGGCTCTGGGGGGCGAGAAGTAGGCACTTCCAGGCACTTTTTAAGGAGGGCCTGGTGGCAGGAGGGCCTGCTGACAGGAGGCGCCCGGGGCTATTGACCCTGCACCCTGTTTGACTGCCTGAAGCTTCCTTCCTTGGCCCCCAGGGCAGGTGGTGCAGACGCTGGGCTCCTCTGGCCTCAGCCAGCCCCAGCCCCAGCTCCAGCCCCAGCCCCAGCCCCAGCAGTTGGGGAGAGAAGCAGGAGAAGAAGCCATAGAGGGACATTGGTGGATGTGCAGGGAGACTCCCAGGATCCTCAAC